AAAAATACAAAGAGAGAAAGGAAGAGCATGATCTTGATCTGGAAACCAAGATGCCTAAATGCATGGCAAATGCCTCCTTTTATAGGCCAAAATTGGAAACTATTGATTTGATGACTAATTGATAAGTGGGTGACCAACTTTTGACTTGGTAACAATCCTTATCTTCTCTTGTCTGCCCAAAACATCATTGATAACGTCAAAATTGGAGCCGGTTGCAAACATGAAAGTTGTAGGCAATTGTCTTAGATATGGCCAAAATACTGAACAGTGCTCGGACTGGAAGACAGATTCGGGCTTCTTTGTTGTTGCTACAATTTGAACTTGATAATGGCCTTTTTAGATCTTGGGCTCCATATAAAAGTTTTAGGCCTATGTCTTACCTTTCCATCCATATAAATTGGACCTAAATCTGAGATATATAGTTCTAGATATGACCCAATTACCGAACAGTGTTCCAGTTTGGATTGCACCGACATCTCTTTTCTAAGTTTGACTATCTCTTTATCCTTGTAATTTAAGTTCTTCAAGTCATCAATCAATCCTTTCATTTATGTGATAGGCCTGCATTAAAAATAGACATTTACCATAAATTATAGGTATCTTATATTATTAGATACATTCTTATAAAATATATTTTAGTTAAGGAGTTATTGATATTTGAAGTGCAAAATGATGATATAAAACCATGATAAAAATGCACTTTTAAGTACTAATCAAATAGCACTTACTTGTTCGGCTAAAAAGGCTTTCTTTTTTACATTCAGTTTTCTCTTCACATGCCTTCCAGGCATGTGTGAAATGAAGGAATTAGAGGACTCACCTGATAATCGGACCTTTGCTTCAATCAACCAGCGAATATCTTCAGGAATTCCATGATTCATTAACAACCTCAATCTTGTACATCTAGCACGGTAAATTTTTGTAATTGCATTATGAGGCACAGTAGTAAAATATTATTTTAATTTTTCAAGATTAGTGTCCATTTTCAAATGAGAATTGGAAGAGAGATTCAAAGAATTATACAAATATATATACAGATATCAGTTATTATGGGAAACT